CCTTGTGCTGTCTGTGTTTTTACTCCTTGTCGTTTGATGTTCAGGCCCATATGTCCACCCCCAGTTGCTCTTCAAACAGCTCCGCATGGAAGGATTCCTTGTCTACAGATGGAAGCACAAAAACGAGGAATCTCTCAAGCAGCTTATGACCTGGGTGAAAGAGGTAAGGAGATTGAAAGTTTCATGCTGGTCAGGCGAGGGAGGAGTGAACTTTGGAAACTGGGCAAGATTTCGCAATCTTCTTTTTAGTGTTTGGATTCCAGTAGGTTTTGGTGGTGGAATTTTGTTCAGGTATACCACAGAATACCACTTGGTATTCTTATCCTGCAGTGCCTGGGGATATTTTAGCTTTTGAAAACTATCCCTTTGATTTAATTTAGAAGATTAACAAATCCATTCTTAGACTGTAATAAATTGAACCAATGAACCTTTTCAATTGTTTTTCAGTTTGATTCATGCAGAGACAGACAACGTTCAACTTAGATATTTCATAATGAGCCAAAAAACTCACCAGAAACATTGTCACTGGTACATAACATCTGGAAAACTTCCCACAAAGCCTTAAATATAAATAGAAACTTTTTATTTTGTTCCCATGTAGTCACTTGTACAGAAATTCCTATATCTGATTATCCAAACTGACTCTCCTATTAAAATGATGACTTGCCGTAAAAATGAAATTATGTATTGTAAGATCAAAATGGCAGAAAAATAGTATATGATAAAAATATAGAATTCATCTTAAGGTGCTACTGCTCTGTGCATTACAAAACAACACGTGATAAAGCAGTGAGTCTTATGCACCTGAATAGGACACATTCTAGTATAAGACATGCTAGAAATGCAAATTAAATAAGAGCCTCTTCTGATCTGACAGACCTGTCTTAGACACCAAATGCACTGTAATGGAAATAAGAGTGTGAACTTTGCAAAGGTCGATATGTATGAAAAGGCAGAGCCAATTATATTTGAACATACCGTAAGACGATTCTTAAATTGCTCCATCTGGACAAACTTTCTCAGTATTGCATCATTGTAATTAAAGGACAGGTAAAAAAACCACAAAAATCATTTGCGGTTTCTGACTTTCTGTATGGCTGATAGTTTTCAGAAACCTTACGTGTGGCTTGGAGGCCTTGAATGGCATTAGTGTTGGTAGTGATTTCAAAAGCAATATTGTGCATTCGAGCCTGCAGAATGACCCCATGTCATGAATTTATGGTGCAAGTAAAGTGGCTGAAGTTCAGCGAATACAATAGACCAGAGGTTCTCAACCTTTCGATGCCAGTGGACACCTTAAGTATTGCTTTACTGTCCGTGGAGCACACTGCAGCAGGAACCATTGGCTCAGGCCACTGAGGGGAGTTTCGTTTTGTTTTGGTGGGAAAGTTTTGGGAATTTTTTGGTTGTCAGTTTTACAACCTTTTTTCTCCATCTCTCACACTCCACTCCCCCACCACCACCACCCCCCCAGAAAAAAAATTATCGCACCGCTGGCTGGCAAAAACTATGGGTCATTTTAAAAGAAAGCAAAATTCAGCCATCAGAACATTTTATACCTACTGTACATAAATACATTCGTAAACAAAACATACGTTCATGAGTTTGCCTAGTTTTCTTTGAAAAACATCGTGGGGTTTCTTTTTGAAATCAGGGCGATTTGATTCTGAATGGTAAAGCGAATTTGCAGGTTTCAAGCTTTCAATTGCCAAAACATCGTAGCACAAAACACATTAGGATTTAGGTTCTCTTTTGATTTCATTCCATGTAAAGCCTAATTTTATGTATTTGTCATCGTACCTCCTGACTATCTTCTTCGCAGTATTTGGCTCATTCAGAACTTGTAGTAGGTCTTTCCATTTCAACATCACTGATTTCTTAACTAAAATCCAATCTTTAAAATTAGCATTGTGTTTTTGTTTCAAAGGTCTAGTTTGAAGCCACTGATCAATATCAGAGTTTATTTTAAATGACTGATTCTTACACTTTAGGCTTATCATAAGTACGTACAAATTACTTCACAAATAGACAAGGAGACATTCAGTTTTGTTGTGTAATTAGATACAATGCTGACTCAGGATCGAGACTGAGGGAGTACTGAGTATCGGCACTGCAGACACTATTTTGTGAACGATACTGCGTTTAGACACCACTTCCTGAAAGATGTGCCGTCTAGTCATGACGACAGCGCAAGACATTCACAAGCTGTAGTTATATTTTCAGTTTATTACGAATTTAAAAGTGAAGCATATAACAGATCACATTTCCATCTGCTTGATTATATCCCTGATATTTGTGTCTGCCGCAGACCCCCTATAACAAACCCACAGACCACAGGTTGAGAAACCCGCTGTAGATCTTTCTAATTCAGGGGTGAACGCTTGCTGTAAGGGGAGTCAGAATGTTAGCGGACCCTGTGCGGGGCTGGGCCTTGATTTCTGATTGTCTGTTAAATACAGCAGAGGACCTGGACAACACAAAGATGTCTCTTTCTTATTTCACTTGCAGGGCAAGCTGAAGTACCGGGAGCATATCACCGCGGGCTTCGCCAACATGCCCAGAGCCTTCATGGGAATGCTGAAAGGAGAGAACACGGGCAAGGCCATCGTGAAGGCCTGAGAGGAGCTCCCGGGCGTCACCTGCGTCACCTGTGACGTTAACCCTTAGGTGGTGGGCCTTTCGGGCGTGGCGGTCAAGTGTCGTTGGGCGAGACGTTTTTTTTCACTTCCCGAACCGTTCGGTTTTAGTAGCACTGGTGGGCATCTCTGGTGCTGGAGGTCTCCACTCCACTGGGAAATGTCTTGGAATCACTGTCAACACTTAATTAAACACAGGAAATGGTGCTCATCTCGACAGACGGTAGACCAGCGGATGGGAACGCAAAGGCCCCTGTAGTACTGAGGCAGTAGGTGTTGTCAAACACTGGGCTTTCCGATCTGTCCTGTGATGTAGATGTTACCTTACTGATCTGAATTAATCACACTAATCAGACGAGCTGGTTTTACGCCGAACCTATACAGGAAATTATGGGGAAAATCCAGTATACGAAATTCCCCCAATTTACTGGGTAATTTTTTCTTTTCTAGACAAAAGTTAAACTTTTTTTTAACATAACATACAAATAGAGCAATACAATCAGATGAGAAGTGTGCTATAAATTAACAAGAGGGAAGAAAGTGGGGGTAGTTAAATAGATTTGGGAAATGAAGAAAAGTCTGTCCAAGCTGACACATTCTACATCATTGTGCTAGTACAGATTTCTATAATCTGAGTGATGTTTATCTGTATTTTCTACACATGCGATTTCTACACAAAATGCAAAAAATATTTTTTTTAAAAATCAGATACAGTGCTAATAAAATGCCAATAGGCTGGGTGATGACAATTATCTATTACAATTTATTGCCCTTGGGTCTTAATTTCCGGGACACTAAGGTGCTTGATTGCACAGTCCTCTTTGAACACTGCGTTTGAGAAGAAAAGCAGAAATAGTTCAAAGCTTTATGGTAATGTTTACTGTATGATCCAAAATTAGAAACTGTGAGTGCCTTCAATACATTTACATTTTGAAATAACTGACCGGATTTTAAATGTGAGAGTAAATATCTTTCTACCTTACTTTCATTTTCTAAAAACTGATCAGTATTTTTTTAAATCTCCTGAAATATGTTTCTCTGATGTAACAAAATGGGAAAATGAATATACGTTGTGCTGTTTTCGTTCTCCAATCATAATTAAATGTTCCTTTTTCCTCTTTAAGGTTGATAGTGAAAAAGTTCTGATTGTCTCTCATTGTCAACTTCATAACTAGAAATTTTAGTTTGATTATATTGGTATTCAATTGATGGTGTTAGAATCAGGGCAGGTACTTATTTCAAGAATCTTGGGGTCATTTTTAGATCTGAGACTTGTATTTGAAATTCACATTATCATTGTTGTGAAGGTGTCTTTTTGTAACATTACTCATACTAAAATCTGCATACATTTCGTTTATCCGGGCCTGGTTATTGTAATGCAGTGCTTGCTTGATTGTATATTCAAACATGTTCAAAACTCTGCTGCTCAGATCATAAATAAAATACATGAACATAACAACCCAGTTTGAGTTTTCTTGCACCGGATTTCAGAAATTCAGCGTACTGCTGGATCACCTTTAAAGGTGTGAATAGTTTGTCTCCTTATTAAATATATAGGGAGACAAGTTTGAGGAATGATCTAAAGACACCCCTGTCCCAAGTCTTGAGAGAGACCTCATTGGCACTTTGGTCTCTAGGAAATCATGAGTGGGTGATTTCTCACCCCCAACTTCACACTACCATATTGCTGGGTCAGCTTTAAAGGTGTAAATGGGTTGACTCCTTGCTAAATGTATAATGATCTATAAAGCAGATAAACTATCTTTGTATATTCTTACATGTCCTTTGCACTATGACCTGCTATTGATCCCCGAACTGGAATCTGAACCTTGGGTGACCATTCTATTCTGTGGGTTGATACCCCAACCCATGTTAGATCTTCCATGTCAGAGATGATTAGTTCTTCTTGTTAATAATTACTGATCTGACAAGTGGGGTGTTAGTGACAGACGTCCAGGGTAAGATAAACCAAAAAACACATTGTTTGTAACAGCCCTCTGTGAATTGCACACCTGAGTCTGAAGTGTGGCAAATGAGAGCCTTATCTGTCCATTCTTTAATTCCTTCTATTGGTTCCCAAAAGTGGAATTTGAACCTTGGGAGACCAAGTTTCTATTCTGTGGATTGATGTCCAAACCCCGTATTAGATCTTCCAAGTCAGAGATGATTACTTCTTAATAATTAACGAATGGGGTGTTAGTGACAGACGTCCATGGTAAGATAAGCCGAAAACTCCCCCTGGACTGCTGTGCCTTCACTCCTGGGTCTGTACCACCTACAACGCCACTTCAGTTTCTCAGGGGGTGGCACTGGTCATGACAGAGGTGGCACAGAAATTCTGACTACTCTTAGTGGCGGAAATCTAAGTCACCCTAAAAGTAATTACTTTAATTCTCTCACATTTATCCATGCAGGTCCAAAGAATATGCCTGGAATCGTGTTCAACTAATTAAATTTAGTTTAACCTTTGTTAATTCTAGTCAAGGTGAAATAGTTGACATATTATATTGTGTATGTAATGTATTATAAATTCTATATTCTGGACTAAAAGTAATTGTATTAAATACATACTCAAATGGCAAGATCTCTGGAATACCCCGAGGAACTAAGTAAGAATTATTCCTTCGGTCACACAGTGACTATTCAGTATAGTTTATCTACTTTGATCACAATTTGCCTCTCTGCTATAATAAAAACATAGTCAGTCTTTCATAATAAAGCTCCGATCAAAACCAAGAAAGAGCCGTTGTTGCTCTTTAGGTTGTAAAGAATTTAAAGCACCAGTAGTCTATTTCTGCAATTGAATATCATAAATGGATCATATTTTTTTCCCTTTTAAATCACTAATGTGTTCCTCAAAAGTTGTGGATAAAACATCCTAATGTACGACAAAATGTGTTCATGAAGAGGGAGATGAGCAAGAAAGGGAGCCTGAACATTCCTCAGAAAGGTTTCTCTATTTCAAAAAGGAAAGAGAGAGAATATTTTCTCTTCACTATGTTATGGAAGCTTTTGTTTTACCTGAATGAGAGAAATTATTTCTAGGCCTCTACTTGAATTGCATTAGCTGCGCCCAAGTGCCTGGTTTCTATGGAAAACCAGCTTCCTGCACTACGTCTATCGTATCTCGGGGCAACCCCTTTGTGAAGCTCGCCAATCACAGGCCAGGGAGAGGGAAGAGATAAAAGAGACAATCAGAGTAATACTATTCCACAAACACCTGCCGGTACTGGTGCACCTGTACTGTGGATAGCATTTTTGTTTTTGTTTTATCAGTGAATGTGCACATTCAGTGGGTACATCAGTGGGCAAATAACCATTTTCTTTTATCAATAAAATAGTATTAGAATTTCAGGGAGGCTTTTTTTTTCTGGCCGCTGTGTTCTGTGTGTGCAGGCCAGTTCAGGGAAGGTGCCAAAGCTATCCCTGTCCCAATTCTTGGGAGAGACTCACCTCAGTGACACTTGGGTATTGAGGAAATAACGAATGGGAGATTTTTGACTGAGGGACATCTCTAAAAGGGTTACTCACCCCCAGCCTCACAATCCAACTTCAGTTAACCATCTTTGGCACAAAGGTACACCTCTCTTAACCTCCTAGTGGATTCTGTTAGACAGGTTTGGAGTTTAAAACAAAGGTGCCAAAAACTGAGAAGAACAGAAAAACAAAATAACTTATTAAACAATCATGCCTTCCGTAAGAAATGTGATTTATTTTTAATCTCTGGATTACTATCGATCACGTCGATGGACAGTGTAACCTGAAACAAGTACAGGCTGTGCTTAAAAATAACTTGTATTAACAAAACAAAGTTAATATTTATGAACCCCAAGTCCCAGTCTGTCCACAAAAGAGACGAAAGGGAATCATGATTTCAGCAAGGGGGGTAAGGATGGCTGACACAGGGGATTCGTGATGAGACCATAGAATAAAGAACTGACGCCGAAAAAACACTGCGGAAATCTGAAACTTGAATAGGGGCGATGTCAGTCTATTCAGGCAGAGCAGCGTTTCAAGGTGTCCGATCCGCAGGTTACAACACTGAAACAGCCCACGCTACACGCTTGTGACCTTAGGGAGGAAAAACAAGACTAGGTAACACCTCTGATGGCTTTTGATTTAGGCAAACGTATTTAAGGACAGGGGCGAATCGCCGAGACCACCCTCTGATGCGACTCACTTTTCTTATTTAAATGCCCTTTTAAATTATTTTAATAATGCCTTATGCTGTGCATAAGAAAATACCTTCAAGGTTTCTAATTTTATCCTGATCTGCATCAGGTCCGTAAAGAGTTCAAAGGTACAAGACAGTGTATGTTTTGGGGATTTAATATTAAGAAGCGTTCAAAAAACTACAAATGCCATTGATTCCAATATCCATCAGTTATATGTTTAATGCCTCTTGTATACCCTTTCTGAGACGTCCTCTGAGTCCTGTTGTTTTGTTCTTAAGGCGTCTGTTTGCTTTCTCTGACAGACAACACTGCGTTACCAGGAAGCGCAGGCATATCTAATGAACCACTGACAGAAGGCTGCTCTCTCACATCGCCACTCTTGCTGTTAACCGCAATGTAACATAAACGCTAAATAGAAAGCGTACGTTTCATCTGGGAAAGGTGATTTTATCTGCGCCGTATTTTGTGAACGTCTTAGTAAATAAAAAATGACACCAAGCTGTACAATATGTGATGATGTCGGCGTGTACTGTGTCTGGAACAATTTTGTTTACATATTTACTTTCGCAAAGACGAACCCAAATCAAGACGGTCATGTTTATTCTAACTTACTTTTTTTTTTCAGAATATATACCGTATATTTTAATAATACCACGGGATCGAGAATCCTGACTGATGTGTAGGGGAACACTGCCTGTTGTGAAAAGCTAATAAGTATTTTTTTCAATCGTATACATACTCTTGAAGGCATTTTGGTGCCAAACGTCAGAGATTTCTGGAGGGTTATTGCCGGCCTATGTAAGATTAGAATCAGTGAGAAACCTGGAAAAATAAGCATCAGAGCACATCACTGATTCATTTATAGGTGTTTTGTAATTAATTTAAGATTCCGAGGTGATTTTTGTGGGTTTAAAGTGACCATCAGAGTTCTAATTATGAGGTGTTAACCCATTACAAATGACCAAAAAAGGTCTATGGAGGACGTGGTATTATAGCAGCAAATGTTCAGAATGCCAGTGTAATTTAAAATCTCATAACTTTTTCATTGACGGTCATACGGAATCCCTTCTGACATTACTTCCTCACCTAAAACGTAATAAATACTTGACATTATCCTCGTTCTCTTTTGCACCCCCACCTCTGCCCCTTGGTCCCTCCTCACTCTGCACAAGGATCCCAGCCTTCTTGTGCAGAGTGAGGACCCCGGCGTCCTGGCCTAATATCCCATTGGCCCTTACCAATCATGGCCTCCTAATAATCCCCATCTCTGAACTGGCTTCATCACTCTGCTCTCCTCCCCACTGAGAGCTGGTGTGTGGTGAGCGGTCTGGCGCACTATGGCTGCCGTCACATCATCCAGGTGGGGCTGCAGATTGGTGGTGGTGGAGGGGAGTCCCCATTACCTGTAAAGCGCTTTGAGTGGAGTGTCCAGAAAAGCACTATAGAAGTGTAAGCTATTATTATTATTATTATTATTGCCCTTTACCTTAACCTTTCAATACACTTAATTCTTGGGTGTTGTTATTCCTATTGACGTGACTAGACCGCTCAGATCATCCCACTTTTAGTGATGATGTAACGACCTTCCAGAGGTGTGGTCACATGTCCTCTATCAGTGATGGGAATTGGTTTGCCTGTAATGTTTTACTATGCCTGAGCACTGTGCTGACTCCTGATTTTCACCAGTCTTGGCATTCAATAGGTTAAATTTGAAAAAAAAAAGAAAAGATTTTGTTCTGTCTAGAAATGGGCCACCATCCCTTATTGTCTTCACACTTCCCACAGTGATCATGCAGTTTTTCCAGTTCCTTTAGCTCAGTGCATATTTCTGAAGGTGTGTCTCCCTTCCCGACACTTGACATCTCCTCTGTCTGCTCATACAATACCTGCTAAACTAAAGGAGAACCTGTTGGTCAATAATATCCATATTACCACCTGTAATATCGTTCTCTTAAAAATAATCTACACGTACAATTTACCCTTTACACTTTAAAGAAGGAAGACAAAAATTGTCATTTTTGTTAAAATGAAAAGAGCAGTTTGCTTCTTATCGCAGAATAATTTTATATTAAACTCAACCACTTTGCCCGTCATTTTTTCACGTAATTGATGAAATGAATTCCAGCAGCCGTAACGCTGATTAAAACCGGATTGGAACAGGCGGTGAGCGACCCTGCCTCGGATACAACGCACGCCTGTGCAGAAGGGGTCCCCGGCACAAGGACCGACGCTCCCTTTCGATATGTGAGCCAGTTCGCGAATGCACATACTGAAGCCGCGCAGGAAAAGAAGGAAAACTAACGAGAGGCGGTTAAAAAAAA